TATATTTTTTTAATCATCTTTTAATTCAATTTCAATTATTATGTTAATTCATATATTGAGAAAACGATTATTGAGAAAATTATTATTATTTTTTTTGCTTAGGACCTGTGCCTTCATTCGGTTTTCCCTATCGCCGTTTATTGTGGTCCAGAATTAATCTTAATATATAACCAAAGTATGATTGAGTCTTTATGCTTTAATTCGTTAATTCAATTCGTTAATATAATTCTAATTGATCATTTTGGGACAATTTTACCAACTTCAACAAACTTCAAAAGTGTATCGACCCATACTAAAAACCAAACATCCGAAAGGTAATTAATTATTCACGTGACTTAACCTAATGATCGTATGCTTATAATTAAACAAAAATATTTTTCTATAGCAATGGGTCTCCCAGCAAAAGAGGCTTGGCCTGAAATTTATGATGAGGATTTTGGCCCAAAGTTTAAAGAGTATATATTAAAATAAAAATTATTTGTAACTTTATGATATCAAATTAATTTAAATTTGATAATTTAATTTAATTTAATTTTAATTTAATTTTAATTTAATTTTAATTTAATTTTAATTTAATTTTAATTTAATTTAGAGTAATGACCACTGGCCAAGGTTTATTCAGAGATGACAACCTTCTGTTAATCCATCGAGAAGGTTACGTCGAAGAATGTTATTTTTCATATACTCTAAGCCCAATATTTGAAGCTGATGGTACTGTCAATGGTGTCTTTAATGCCGTACAGGAAACCACCCAAAGAATATTGGCCACAAGACGATTAAAAACTCTTGGCGAATTGGGAAATCGCACACCCGGTATTGGATTTATTAATTTTTTTTCACAAACACATATATATATTTCACACATACTCATACATACATATATACATATATATTAATCTTTTTTCTTTTCTGATTTCTTAAAGGTGCAAAAACCGTCGAAAGTTCATGTCATATGGTAGCTTTAACGTTACGTGATAACAATGAAGATATACCATTTGCTCTAATATATTTAATCGAACCTGATGAATCAGATAACAAAACTCAAATAGCTCGTCTTGTGTCAACAACTTTTGATGAAGATCTTGAGACCATTGGAGGTGCTGATGGTGTTGATGAAATTGTGTTTTCCAAGGGCCACTCTAAAAGGACATTACCTGAATTCCTGTCTGATGTACAGGATCGCATAACTATTACCCTTGACGATAGTCATGATAATAACAATAATAATAACAATAATAATAATAATATTAATATTAATATTAGTATGGAAATTTCCAGTGATACCCAAACAAGTTCTAGCCACTCTAGCCACAACACTTCATTTTATTTACAAAAAGTAGTACATACGGGAAACCATGAAATTATTACTTTGACCAATGGTAATAAGGCAATTTTGTTACCAGTTACTACTTCTACAGGAAAGAGTGTGTTAACTTCAGTTATGATATGTGGAATTAATCCACAACGAGCCCTTGATCGTGAATACATGGGATTCTTACAGGTTAAATATATATATATACATATTATCAATATTTAAATCGTTTTTGCGTATGTCATTTG